GGGGGAGTAATTATTATTATTATTATTATAAATCAAAGGTTTTTTAAAGAGAATTTCTAAGTGCAGTAAGAATCTGCATTCTTTTCTAAAATTCTGGAAAAAACTGTTCAAAAACAGACTGAAATTAAATTGACAAAATTATCCATTTTCCTGGTATAACCCATTTTCCTTTCAAAGAAAGGAGGATTTTAAACCACATTATTCCTTGCTAAGTCTCTTTTCACAGACATCGCTCCCAAAACCAATCTATATTCCTCTTTTCACCCCAGATTTCAATTTCTTTTGAAAATAAGCCTTCCCTAAAGCACATAAACATGAACACAGGTTCTATGCAGCATTTGTTACAAAGACAAAAGGCCAGGAAGAGGCTATGATTTAGAGCACAGGTTCCCACTAAAGCTCTTCAGTCTTCCCTGAAGATATACCTTGTCACCTCTATCTCCCAGCAATGATGCAATTTGATTGTTTCTGTTTTATAGCTAACTATGTTGAGTGCAGAAAACAAACTAGACACAGCATATATAACTTCTGGATACCTTTGGAGTTAACATCCTTATTTACAGCTTACTGCTGTAGCCAAGGAAACATTTTTTACAAAATCACCTAACCTAGTGAAGTAAATAAGGGATTGTCAAATCAGCAAAGCAAGTTAATTTAAATTAAGCACTAAATCTAAGAAAGTGGCAATGTGACTAACATGGCTACTTTTCCTCAACCTGACGTTCTCAAAATAAAGCTTACAGAAAAATTCCAGGTGAACTTTGTTGTTTAACATTTTATGGTAGAAAAGCACACATTCGGGTGAATTATGAGTATCAAAGTCAAGCTGAAGAGTATACAACTTATCAACTAACAGTAGTATCTCTTCAGACTTTCAAAAGCAGTTTATTATATGGAACTCTGATTTTGAAAGGTAAACAGTACCTACCGATATAGCAGGGCTTTGCCCTTCTCATTGCCCAGGGCAAAATATCCACTTCTGGGAGAGAAATCCATGGTCTGAACAAGAGAAATCGTTTTCCTCCTAACAACCGGGAAGTTTGAAAAGACTGTACAGGAAGGAAGGTGAACCTAATTCAAGAAAACAAAACAAAAAACCTTTAAATGGCAAGAATTAGAAAGACATCGATCGAAAATACCAGTCTTCATTCTTTTTGCTTGATGAATTCACTTTTCAAAATGAATTTTAAAAATTTCTTTTGACTGTAGCATATATAAAATACAGTTCTCAATGTACCAAAGTATTCCCAAGCTGAAACTTTACTTTCAATGTGCTACAACAGCTAGAGGAATGGAAAAGAAGAAGAAAAAAGTTCTCAGGCTCTTCATCTCACATATTTTGGCACGCTGTCAAAAAGGATCCTAAGAAAAAGATACCACACTGAGAAAGGTGGGAAGTCAGAGAAAGAGTGGAAGACCCTCACCATGACTGACACTGTGACTGTCAAGATGGTCTAGAAACTCAGCTAAGAAATAATGTGGGTACTGCAGAGTCAGTGTGGCTTTCTTCAGCTTTAACCTGAGGACTTGGGTTCATTTTCTTCTTTGAACGTGAGTATGAGTAACTGGTGGTCTGTTCTACTGTCAGCCTCTGGCCCTGCTCTAACCGATGCTGCTGCTTTAGGATTCTGTGCATTCCGTCTTGTAGACCATCTGTGCACTGCTTATGTTGAAAGAAAAATTTCTAATGAACAGGTCCAGGGCCTTGCGATATTCCACCATCTGATAGCTCCTGTGGTTTCTATCACTAAGAACTTATTTTTCAACTACCAATCCTTTATTTCTAACTTTTACATTCCAATCACTAGTATTTACAACTGATCTTGACTGTATGATTGGATCCATTTCAGACTACAGAATTTGGTTTAAAAACAAAAATCTTTAATTTCTTCATCTTCGGGCACAATGGTTGGGGTATAAATTTGAATAGTCCTATTAAAATGCTTCCTTGTGACATATGGATATACACTGTAACTGATAACACTGCTTCCGGATAGATCTTGAAATGTTCTTTTTTGATGATAAGTGTGATGTCATTCTTCATTTATTCTCAGCACTGTAGATTGTATAGTTAATCTGATTAAAAATTACCAATATCAGTTCATTTCTGCTTCTTAGTGCCTCAGTTATCACTGTTCAAGCATTCCATTTCTTTTTTGACAACTTCCAGTTTTTCTTTACTTATTCTCAGTACCTTCCATGTTGAATTATTAATGGGTATTTGCAGCTGTTTCTTCTCATTTTCAATTACCACATCAGCAAATGAAAATCCTTAATGCTTTACTCAATGCACATCATGACAGGTGACTCTACTTGAGGAGGCAGCTCTCTTCCACTTGCATCTTGGATGCCTTTCTCCCTGAGAGACTCCTCTCCCAGCAATGTATTAGACAGCAGCCCCCTGCTATCCACAGGTTCTATCACTGGCCAGTTTCTTCAGGACGCAGAGATCACCAGGTCCTTCTTCCTGGTGTCTTCTTCTAAAAGTTCTGTTGTATCACCATCGGTGAACGTGCTGGTATTTGAAATACTGGTGGTACAGTTTTCATTATCAAAGAAGTGTGTCACCACTGTAGACAAACTGAGAGACAAGTGCTGATGCATGACAATTATAACCCAGAAAACTCTATGGGGCAGTTCTACTCTGTCACACGGGCTGCTCTGACTTACAATCAACTCAAGGGCACCAGGCACCAGATGGAAGCTCTCACTTTCAAATGTTCCACAGCTTTTGCAAGAGACACAGAGCTAGCTTGCACATTCAAGCAGGTAATGTTATCATTCAGCTATTTATCTTGGTTATCTTCACACTTCTAGATTAGCTTTCATCCCCTTCAATCAGGATGGTTTTCACAGACAAGCATAAGGTAAGATTCAATGCTACAAACACCTAACTATTATATAGGCTTCAGTCAATCATTTAATAGGCCCAGCTCCTTATAATATATGCCTATTGCCTTTTTTGTCAAGAAAGTAGACTTTATAGGGAATCTCTAACTCATGTCCATTTAAGTCTTAACTGGCACCTGTATTAAAAGGTATTAATTGAACCAAGAACTTGAATTAAGAAGATGTCCTATAAAGATTCAACTTCTTTATTTCAAAAGGATACTTTTATCTCTATTACCTTGTTGTTCACAATATTTAAAGGCACATATATCAAAATCCAATAAATAAAAAGCTCATTCATACTTGACTTAGCGGGTAAGATATTCCCTAGCTTTGAGATTGTTGATGTAGTAAAAATTCAGCTCGTGGGTGCTCTAGTGGTGCAATGGCTTAGCTTTCTATCTCTTGCTTTATGCAGGAACAGCCAAATTACCTGGTGATTATAATGAGTAACACCAGTATTTCTCACCGAGACATTGTGAAGCTGAGCATTGCTCTGCCTGGCTTCTTTCCATTAAATATTATGCTTGACTAAAATATAAAGACTGTGATCTGCCTGTTACTAATGAATTCCTTATGTGATTTTGCCAGGATGAAAAAACATCAATGCTGCCACAGTCACTGAAGCAAACCACACAGAACTAACTACATTTTCCAAAATATGTCACCAGGCGATAGTGGTTTTCTGTAACAATATACTCCCATTAAAATGATAAAAGGTTACTATGACTAGTACACCATCCCCATTAAAGTAACTGGTATTTTAAAATTGACTTGAACGAGAATCTTCTCACTTATCAAGTGATTTACTCAACAGAGAGGCAATAAAACTCAGTGTCGTGTTTTTCAAACATTTGTTCCAGAAGAATCCTTTCTCCTCACAAAGAAAATGTTATGTAGAATCCCAATTTCTATCACAGGCAACAATGGCACTTCTCTATAATACAAGCAACGGCACTTACTCCTTGTCACATGAGGTCCCTCTGCAATTCCAGGGCTCTAAGGCCCTAGAGTAATAAAAGAAAGCCTCTCGAGTAATAGGAAGGGTATGGATGCTAGAATCACAATGTTGCCATTTATGAGCTATTGCTTTGGGGTAAGTTAATCCTCTGAGGACACCTATTTGGCTCAAAAAATTTTTCCATGTAACTGTAAATCTTTGTAACTTTAACATTACACTAAGTTGATGAAGTATATAGTACACAAAAGGTTCTTTGCTAAATGAGCAGGGTAAAAAGAACAAATCTTTTTAAACTCCTTATAATCTAGTAGTGTACACATACTACCACCACAGTGCAAAGTTGTTTGTGTGTGATACTAGCATACAAAAAAATTGTATGTTATCTAACCAGTCCACAGATCAAATCAATATATTTAACCAAAGCTAAGACCCTGGTTCTGCCTTAAGGGGGGGAAATATCACAGAGGTGGGTGACATATAAACTGAATTAAAGCATTACACAGTAAACTGAATTCTGACATACAGAAAGGTGTTAATGTACAGCAAGCTGTAGAATGCTTTCTTTAAAGGGCAGCCTGCAAGGCTGGCCTTTGTATGGTATCTGAGAACTTGACTGGTAAATAGCTCCCTACAGTAAAATTTTCCCTAAATGAAAGAGGTAGCTCATTTTGCCTAAACTGTTGGCACAAACAATGTAACTCACACAGATAATTTGCATTCCTTTTGGATATGGAATTTTGGTATGTGTTAGGTCAAGTGTACATCCATGACCAGCCCAAAAGAAAATTCTTGGGCACTGAGTCTCTAATGAGCTTCCCTGATGGACAAACTTCACAACTCATGTGGGAGGAAATAAACATGTCTGCACGACTTCACTGGGAAAGACTTCTTGAAGTGTGTGTATCAGGTTTCCACTACAATTGTGGCTTTACTGAGTTGGCTTTGAATTCTTTCACTGCAGTAAATCACAGCTGTGGGTCCAATTATAGGCTGAGTTCTGCTAGTCTCTCTAGAGAATCACAGAGCCCGGGGTGAGTGGCTGGCAAGGCTGCATCTTAGGGATCTCTGACACAGCAGCTTACTTCTAAATTGCTACCTAGTTATTTTTATTCAGTCTATTTACAAGCTCAATTTCTTTTCAAAATCTAAGAATTGCTTCTACACCACTAAAAACAGGCCTTACAAAGGTAAATAAGCAAAGAAAAATAGAAAAATAAAGTGTTTACCTTAAATATAATCTTTATATAGCAGACAGATCTGGGGAAACCAAGCCCTAAAAATGGGGATCACTCAAGAGAGATTTGAAAATGGGCAGCACAACTTTTCCAAATGAACTGACTTAATAAAAATTTGCTAAAATTATGTGTGTCATTTCTACAACCACACCCAAAATCTCTAATTCTAAAAAATTTCTACTTGAAAAGAAGCCATTCTTTTTAAAGAATAATCTAATATTCTCTTTTCCTGTTATCCTTCCGTGTTTACAATTTTTTTTTTAATTTAATTTCATTTTTGTGTGTGTGTGTGTACCGTCAAATCAGATCCGACTGGTACAGGAGGAAACTGCCCCTCCTTCTCCAGCAGAGCATCTGGTGGATTTGAACCATGTGCCTCTGGTATTGCAGTGAATTTTTTAAAAATTTTCAGTGATATAAAAGGAATAAAAAAAATTACCAATCTAACTGCTTCTCTCATTTTTTCTGAAGCAATGGCCAAGATTTCTGTAGTCGGATTGAAGGTCAAAGAAGTAACACCAGTAACCAAGTTCATTATAGCTTTTATCGGCTTTGGACTTCTTTCTTGGAGGCAAGATTCTTGATTATATATGTTTACTACTCCACAATTAGACCTGCAAAAGAGAAAAAAAAATCACTGAACAACAAAGATTAAAAATAAGCAGAAGGTTTTCACAGGCTCACAATATAGATGCTACTCTGTAAGTGATGTTTGTAGGAATCATACTGTTGTTATACGAGATTGGAATGGGAGAATTTATCCCAAGATGAAAAAGCTAAAAAGCATCCTATCAAGTTTTATCCCAGCCTTGATGAATTGTTCTTAACTCTGGCAGATTTTCAACTACAAGCTTAACTAAAAAATCTAAGCAAAGCAGGCAATTTCCATTAGTTATTCCTTCAAAAAATATTTAAATATTTACTGTCAACTCTACACTAGGTCCTAGTTTTAGGTGCTTAGACTACAAGTGTGATAAAGCCCCACAAATTGCCGTGGAGCACAAAGTTCTTTCCCAAAAACCTGTTGCTGTAAAATTTTAAGTAAAAGAGACCCTGTAGGACAGAGTACAACTGCCCCATCAGGTTCGTAAACTACAATCTTTCCAGAAGCAGACTGCTACATCTTTCCTTCCATGGGGAAGCTGGAGGGTTCAAAATAGCCCCCTTTCACTTGGAAGCTGAACACGTTAAATACTATACCACAGAGAAGGAGAGAAAGTGCCTCTCTTCCCAAAAAGGAATGATGGCGATCAACCAAATCATACATGCTTTTATGAAGTGGGACTAGGAAATCCGATGGTGATGAGAATGAAAGGTAAAGACACAAAAAGCCCACTAAGGGTCCACAAATAATCATGGGCCAGGAGAAAACACAGGTAGGAGAATAGTGGGTATCACTCAGGAAACATCTGGCAATGTCAGAAGACATCTTCGGTTATCACAATGAGGTTGGTAGAAGGGTTGGGTTGAGTGGGTAATGTAACTCGCAACTGGCGGCTTAACATCCTACAACACCCAGGACAGAATATGCAGCACAAAGTTAATCATGTCACCTTCCTCAGCTCACTCTTGCTCCTCAAAGGATCTGCTCCACTCTTCTGGGGGCTATGACCTAGAGCGTCACTCTTCCATTTTCTAAGCAGACACTGAGCACATTACAAACACCTTTCACCTATCTCCTCTATACTCAGTCCCACTGCCCTCGTGATGATTCTTTATTACCTGCTGCCTGGATTATGGGAATAATCTCGAAGTTCAAGTCCATCTCCTTCTCTTCTAAATACTGTCCTAAGAAATATCAACTTCAAAGCCTAAAGTGTAGATCTGATAATGATATACTTTAGAAACCTATGATGATTTCACTTTCTACTCAACAGAATACCCAAACTTTTTAATAAAGAGTATCAGGTGGCCCAGTATTTTCTTTGCTCAAGAACAGATAAAGCACCATTGATATTATTATTCAACAGTGTACTGAGACAAGAAAATGCAAAAAAGTTATTGGGGCTTAGTGATGTCATTTTTAAACAGTTAATAAACAGAACTACTCGAGTGCTTCACCTACTGTGCTTAAACCTGTATTCTGTTCCGCCAGTCAGAGGTTATTAAGGTGTGTTACCAGCAGCTCTCTTCACTTACCCGCAAGCCACATACTGCCCATTCCTAGATGTGGCAATGCTTAATCCATACAAACTGCCTTCATCAGCAAATCTGTTAAGGCACTTCCTCGAGTTCACATCCCAGACATAAACTTCGCCATCTCCTGCATTAAACAGAAAAATGAAAGCCCAATTAATTTTAATTTAAATTGAGAGGAATGTACATAGTATAAAAAAATGTATGAGCCACTAAAATTTCCTTACATAGAAAACTATTTCTAATTCAAACAACTGTCACTGCCACTGTCTCCATTTCGACTCTCCTCTCAGCTTCCGAGGCTGTAACTCCTAACAGGAGGACATTGCCCATCCTTCTCCTGCAAAACTGCTAAGGGGTTCAAATTGCCAGACACGCTCTGCCTTTGGTGACTGAGCCATCAGAGCACCTTTAATAAATGCCTTCAGAGATAAGATTAAGTGCCGATTTCTCAGCAGAAACCATGCAGGCAAGAAGGGAATGGAAGGACATATATCAAACACTCAAAGAATACAACTGTCAACCAAGAATACTGTACCCAGCAAAATTATCCATCAAATATGAAGGACAGATCAAGATATTCCCAGAAAAGCAAAACCTAAGAGAGTTTGTAAAATAAATGCCTTCAGGTTTAATGTGAAAATCAAAAAGTCCCTCGGCTGGAGTTGAGTTTTTAGATACAGCAGTAGTGTTTCATTCAAATTCTTGGAACAAGAACTCAGGAAAAATAAAAAGTTTAAGAAAAACTATATCTATCCATATAGCTTTTCCAACATCTTCCAACGGGTTTTGCTGTGTAGCATTGAGTTGGAAGCTGACCCTCCATCGGGTTTTCAGGGGCAGTAAATCACATGAGAGGAGACTGCTCGTTTTTCTCCCGTGGAGCGTCTTGTGTATTCAAAATGTGTATCTATCTCACTTGATTGTAGGACATTCCATTTAAACAGACTACAAGCATCAGCATGATAAAAATGGCCATCTAACTGCTAAGATCAGTCCTTGTTCTTTTCTCCTCATAGAGCAACCAATAACGACAGCCCTCTCCCCACATTCCTAACACATTCTTAAAATGATCCTACACCCATCTTAAAAATAGCTCACTTGGGGGGAGCTCTGGTGGCCTAGTGGCAAGGAGCTGCAACTACAATCCCAGAGGCATACGGTTCGAATCCACCAGATGTTCTGCTGGGAAAAGGAGGGAAAATCTCCTCCTGTACCAGTCAGATCTGATTTGACAGTACACTCACACAAAAAAATTTTAAAAAAAATTAAAAAAATAGCTCACTTGTTTATATCACCTTCTCCTTTTTTCTGGGTATTGTTCCAAACTTCACCTTACTATATCCATCTTTCCATTGAGAACTTAACCAAGTTCATCATTTCAACTATTTCCCTAGCCGAATGATATGTGCTCAGCTAGGGCACAGGTTATAAAGTAGAAAAACATATATGAAAACAGAGAACAGGTTCAAATTAAGTAGCCCTTGCCTATACTATGTGTGCCTATTGGTGTATACTGTCAAGTTGGAACCGATCCATTGCTGACCCGCCAGTAGGTATTCAGTCAGTTCATCACACAGGAGGAAACTGCCCATCTTTTTCCTGCAGAGTATTTGGTGGATTCAAACTGCTTGCCTTTAGGTTGGTAGTACAAATATTTCTAATCCGTATGCTTGCCTAGGGGGTTATGTTATTTGCCTATGAGGTAATGTTATAAAAAAATTAGTCTATCAACAACTGAACTGGGAGGAAACCAAAGGGAAGATAATTTAGAAAACCAGTCTATTAAACAATTAACAACTGATGAAAACACAAGACAAAAGAGGCAATGTTATTAGTTAACAAAAACTTAGAGCAAAGAGTAAAAAGAGAAAAACTAACTAATTCTTTACAGGCAATCAATCATATGAACAACATGATGCCAAGCATAAGAAATTCTCCATGCAGAGGAGAAAGCCAGTGAAGGAGAACCACCAAAATGATAAGTAATTCTTAACTTCATTCCAAGAACCCCTTCATGAAGCCTTTTACCAAACATCAAATCCCCTGAAAATATTTAAAGGAGTAATGATCATAATTTTCTAAATGTCTTGAAAGTCTTAGGGACAATCTCAAAAGTTGAGCTTTCAATATGCCATTTCATACCATGTCAAAGTCATATTCTTATTTTACCTTAATATTAAATAAACTCCTACACTTGCCTTTAAAAGCTTTAATAAGTTTGTTTCCACATCACATAATTTCCCTTCATTTGGCCTGAGGAAGTTAACTCACACCCCTGTGCCTTGGAAAATTAAAGAATTAAAAAACTGATTCATATAAAAGAGTGATATACAGAAGCCCTGCAGTGTTAGTTGCCATAATTATGATTATGACACTTGCCACATCCATACCTGTCTTTTATCAACCACTTTGGACCCTCAACTAGCCCTCTAAATCTTCTCCCTGATTCGTGTTTTCCCAGGATCCTGGGGCCAGTTCACCAGAAACATTAATTATGTGTTAATATGTATTCCTTACCTGTCACAAATCCCAGTATTATATCGGAAACATAAACACTACTGATCTTGTTACTCGATTTAAAAACAATAACCAACAAAAAAACAAACTTAAGTAACTTCGTAGAAGTCTGATTCTAAAACAAAAATAATTTTTTTTACAGTTAACATATTTTTTAAAAATTAACACTGTGTGATGAAAACTCCTGACTAAAGCAAAATTATGTGTTTTTTTTTAAAAAAAGGGGGGGCCTGCATGTAGAGTAGAAATGTACTCATATCAAAAAATCACTGAAATGGTTCCTACTACCAAACAGCATAAACTACACTGACATTATATATCTGTCCCAAGAGATAGCCTCAAAGATATTTTTTTAACAGAAAAAAAAAAAAAAAAAAGAAGCAGCCTGAAAGGTAGAAGAGCATCGGAGTTAAGGCAAGGAGTGCCTGGGATAAAGAACTGCACGGCAGTGTTACAAAACCACGAGAGGATGAAGATCTAAACGGTGTTCATTCAGCGATGACATTCACACAACTGTTCAAAAGGACAGACCCTGGGTGACGCAGTGTGTGGTGCACTGAGCTAACTACGAGGTGAGCAGTTTCAATCCACCAGTGGCTCTGCATCAGACAGGGTGATGAGACAGCCTCTTTGTAAAGGTTTACAGCCTCAAAAACCCAAGGGATCACCACTATGAGTTGGCATCAACTCTATGGCAGCCAGTTTGATTCTAGTTTTGAGCCAATGGTACTGCTAACGTAAAGGGACACAGTTCTAAGATGAATCTTTTAAAAGAAGGACTTCTTTACATTTCCCCTCAAACCTATTAAATAGTGCAAATATTCAGTCCCACTCTATTAATAGTAAATAAATGATAAACCAAAAACCTATTTTAATATAAAACTGATTTTCTTTTTTTTTTTTTAAATATCTATTAGCCATACCTGGCCAGGTCCTAGTTCTCATTCCTAATAACCCCAATATAAACACTGTTGTTAAATATACAAATTAAATTTACAGAAACCAGTTAAATCTGCCAATAACATTACAAATAGCTGTAAGATAGGATTTTAACAATGGCTGAATCCTGACTCATACATTTAACTCTTTAAAATGGAATAGTCACAATAAACAACTGCACAAACAAAATTATATATACCTATATTCCACTATGCCCAAATAATTATTATCTATGGGAAAATATACTTCATTTAGGTTCTAGAACAAAGTCTGTTACCTTCCCTATGAAATTAAAAATTGAACAGTTAAGATTTTTATGTGCCCTAGGCATGAAACAGCTTTGGCCACAATACAGGCATCAAGCTAGGATGAACAAAGGACTCAGTCTGCTCTGCCCCTGATTGATATAAGAGCACCACCATCAGTCAGGTGTGCCTCTGCCCATAACCAGGGGTTTGATTTTCTTAACAAATCAAGAAAGTCTAAAATCAAATACAGTTGAAGTCAGACTATAAACACATCAACAGTGTTTGTTATTTTAGTAAGTTCACTTACCTGATGAGACATATATTTTCTTACTATCTGAAGAAAATGTGGATGCTGCAATCCTTCCATTAATTTTCATGCTACTAATAAGTTCTTTAGTCTAAAAGAATAACAAATATAACAAATCGTTAAGAAGGTATTCTACAAACACATTATTATTATTATGTAAAACAAAAACAATCTATTCTCTATTTCCCAACATCTAGTAAACAATGCCCCCGCCCCCCCCCCGACGTGCTCAGAAAAGCACCTTCTCTCATCCCATCTATGCCCCTCTACTTGAGAGGCAAACCCAACCAACAATTCATAATGGTTCACCTTCATTGACAGCAAATGAAAATACCCAGCAACGCCATTTATAAGCAAGAAGGATCCATCCAGGGAGACTTCAAAACTCCTCACCAGTTTCTCTTTTAAGCCTAAGAAGAGATAAAGCAAATAAAGTTCAATATGGCTTTTTAAGTGGTTTTTACTGACAATTTTCTTATCTTTCAAAAAGTCTAGTTACCTCAAATTATACCAAGCTGAGGCTCAGATTTCAAATAATTCTGGCCCCATGTTGTTACTGATCATGACCCTAATAGATAACCAACAAAATGCTTAGCAAGCTTCTTTTTTTTTTTTTAGTTAACATTCACCACTTTAATTATAAGGAAGAGATTCAATCTTTGCAAAGCAAACATAATAACTCTTTTTCTGAACTAAGCAATAATTCTAATTCATTTAAAGGACACATCATACTTCCTTACCACAAAATTCATTACCAGAAAAGAAATGCACTACAATTATGGAACACTGCCATGAATATAACCCAGCGGCTAGACACTTTGTTGCTGTTGGTGGTGGTGGTGGTGTTAGGTGTCCCTGAGTCAAGAATGACTCACAGCAACACTATGAACAACTGATCTGAACCCTGTCCTATCCTGTGCCATCCTCACAATATCTGAAATATGTGAGTCCACTGCTGTAGCCAATCTATCTGACTGAATGTCTTTCTCTTTCACTGACTCTACCTTTCTAAGCATAATGTCCCTATCCTAGGAACAGCTTCTAGCAACAGTCCCAAAGTATGTCAGCTATACTAGACATCCAATAAACAATTTATGATAAACAGGAGACTAGTTCTTAACCGTCTTTAAAAAAAAGACACACACACAAAGAGAGCACGTGTGTACTCAAAAGGTGACTAGGTTCTCAAGATGCGAATCATGAAGACAATAACATGATACAAAGGATGAGCTTACTTAGCAGAGGGTCAAGTCCTTTTTCCATATCTAAAAGTTTCACATTCACTATGCAAGACATCTTTAGATATCAGAATGGTTAAGAGAGTAAAGATACTCATTAAAAGTGTGGAGAGAACACTGAGACCTAGTGGTAAGAAACTGCACTGCCAACTCAAAGGCCTCTGGTTCAAAACCACCAGCTGTTCCATAGGAAAAAGATGTGCAATCTCCTATGTAATTGACAGCCTCTAAAAATCTGCTGGATGGTCAGCCATGAATTAGTTCTGATTCAAAAGTACACACAATAGAGGAGCTTTGATGGCACAGTCTATGGTGTGCTGTGCTATTAAACAAAAAAGTTCCCTAACAGAAAAGACGCATAAAGAGTAAGTATACCAGGTGACCATTCAGCCAAAGAAGTAGACAGCCAGGAAGATGTGTGGGAAGCGACTTTGATCATCTACCTTTCTATAGCTATTGGGTTTTTACATCATGTGACTGTACCACCTAAGAAAATATTTAAGTTGCTAGCAGAAATGAGAGAAAAGGCATTCAGAAAAATCTTAGGAAGTACTTTTGTTTCCCTATGTAATACATCAAAAGTAACTCATCCTTGAAAACTGCTGGTTAAGGACCCACCAAGACCATCTCTACCCTGTTAACAGTTTTTGTTTAGAAGGTTGTTGCTGAATACCATAGAGGGAGAACTGACCCACAGCTGACCCTCCAGCAGGTTTTCAGATGGAGTTAATTGCACAGGAGAAATGTCCATCCAACTCCCATGGATCAGCTGGTGGATTCAAATCCCGCACCTTTGGAACTGCAGCACAGTTTCTTGACAATAGGCCACCAGAGCTCCCTTATTCTGTCTCTAAGAAAATATACTCTATTTCCTGTGATTGCACTCATGTTTCCAAATAATGTATTTACAATCACTGGGATTACTTCTCTTGATTACCAGGTCCTTCTCGATAATTCTATTCCCATTAAGGATAATTTTTTCAGTATAGCTAAAATAGCATATTTTTTTTTAATATTTAATGGCTCCGGGCACTTGTAGTATTCTTTTGGCCCCACGTGGGGATTGGCAGAGCAGACATGCCAGGAACTGGGGGTCTGAGGCAAGGAGTTTGCCAGCATTTGGGGGTGCCGGGATCACTTAAGGGCCCGAGGGCCACAGTCTTTGTTTTTGTTCAAACCTTCCTCTAGGTCGTATAGCCTTGGTGTACAAGTTGCCATAAAGTGGTCACTCGTGGTTGCTGTGAGGCTGAACACTGTGACACTGATGTGTCAAATGCATTAATGGCTGGTTACGCAATGTGGACAGAGAGTGGAGTGGAGCTCCCCGATTAAAACAAGCTTGGAAGGAGGAGTAGCATCCTCTTCCGTAATAGCTTGCATCCGAAAACCCTATGAACCTGGAGAGAGGATGAGAGACACCCAAGCATTGAGAACTCTCCTTCATAGGGTCGCTATAAGTCGCCTGCCACTCGACAATTAAATAACAACAACAACATTCAGACGTCTAATATATACACCATTCCCTTATACCAACTTAATTCTTGCTCCCTCGCTTTCTCTTCTCATCCCTATCAGCATTCCAAGACAGATTCAATCTGCGTGTAAACCTTGTTTATATTAGTCTTCTACCATGTTGTCTTTCTGTGACTAATTTTTGCCTCCTACCATAATTTGTTACAGATTCACCCATGTTGTGCAGTATTTCACAAATTTTTGATCATTTTTTTGGCGGTGGTGTTGTTGCTGTGCACTGCTGAGTTTCAAGAGACCCATGGCTGACCCTCCAGTTGGTTTGCGGTGACAGTAAATTGCACAGAAAGAGACTGGCCATCCTTCTCCAGGAAGCATCCAGTGGACCACTGGAATCACCACTAGGCCATCAGAGCCTCCCTTTGATGATTTTTGGGTTACATATAATTCTCCATTGTGTTAATTACTGGAATGTCCTCCATCATGTGTTGATGGGACACTTGGCGGCTTCCAACTCTTTGCTAATGTAAATAATGCTGCAGTAAGCATGGGTGTGAGGGGATCAGTTTATGCTGAATTTTTATTTCTTTAGAATTTATGTGCTTAGTAGTGGGATTGCTGAACAAATGGCATTTCTCTTCCTTGCTTTCTAAGTGCCCAACTGTTGTCCATAATGAGTGAATCATTGTACATTCCCAACTGCATTGTCTGAGAGTTTCAATCTCTATACACTCTCAATAGCATCTGTTGTCTGATATTTTATTGAACACTGCTATTTTTGCTAGTGAGATGATGTTTCATTGTTTTGATATGCCTCTCTCTAATAATTAATGATCTTGAATATTTCTTCATGTTTCTTGGCCATCTAAATGTCTTCTTTGGTGAAGTCTTCATGTCCTTTGCCCATTTTATAACTGAATTGTCTTTTTCTTGTTGAGGTACTCGGAGGTGTCTATAAATTCTAGTGCTGAGGACTTTTTGGGTTTGGTTTTGGGTTTGTATGTACCATCGAACTGTATCCAACTAGCACAGGAGGAGATTGCCTCTCCTTCTCCAGCACAGCTTCTGGTGGATTCAGGATTGCAGGACAGCTTCTTGCCACTAGGCCACCAGAGCTCCCTAGTGCTGAATTCTTATGGGTGATTTTAATTTCAAAATCTGGGTAGATTCTAGTATACAGATATACAGTCCTAAAGACAGAAAAAACACTACAATGTAATAAGACAGGACAGAAGAGCAGTTCTAAAACAATGAGAGGCTAACTCTAGAAGCCCTATCAACCTAACCCTGATTGCAAGTGATGGGAAATGAGAACATGAAGGGGTAGAAATGCTAACTCTGGTGCCTGGAGTGAGGCATCAATGTAGCCCTGGCAGGGATACAGGTAGCACAGGCATCGATATGGAGAGCAACAGGGAACAAAGTTGCATCTTAATGTAGAGGACTCATGAGAACACTAACACAATAATGCGACAGTAACAGAGAACTCACTACACATTCCACTGCTCTCTACACCTGGAGGTAACTGGATGACCCTCCTCTGTTGTCCCTAAGACTGCCATCTTTGAATAAATAAGGAGGAAAAGCTGTCTTCAAGAAATACTCAACTTCCAACAAATATGAACAATAGCTGTTTTAGCAATTAACTAGAAAAGAAAGAAAATTGTATATTCACCCAAAGCCATCAAGGTTTCCATATGTATAAGGCTTTACAGCCTAACTAACTGACAAGTATTCTCTTAGGTGTTTTATATTAACAGGAGCCTAAGGAGAGTTCTCAATAGCACAAAAAATAGTAGTAATTCTAGGGAGCTCTGGTGGCCTAGTGGCAAGACGCTGCACTGCAATCCCAGAGGGACGCGGTTCAAAGGAGGGGGCAATCTCCTGTACCAGTCAGATCTGATTTGATGGTACACATAAAAATAATAAAAATTAAAAATTAAAAAA